AACCCCTATTCTTTATTTAATTAATTAACAACTGCGCTCTCTCCTATAAAAATTTGCATCTTCCAAACTAAAGCATGATGCGAATTGGATTTTTTTCCATATGTAGTAGACACTTCAAGTTACAAATGTAGAAAGTTTAATAAAAATTGCTTGGGAATAACGATTTTTGCCAGCTTAGTAAATATCGGTCTAATAACGGACGTTTTCAAAACTCAAAACCAAGCGAAACGTTGTATTAAAAACACCTTTGTAAAACAATTGAAGGCGAATAAACCGTTCAACTTCCATCCGGAACATTGCGAATTAATTAAAAAACAAACATTGTTGCCATTTGATAAATTATCTCCGATTTATTTCCATTTGCCCACAAAGTTCCTAGCGAAACTGATATCATTAAGAAGAGTGGCTTTAAAGCGCATTCACGAATGGCTTGCGAGCAATCTTTAACTTCTGGCTTAATGCCAATTCAGCCCGCACTTGATTTATCACTTTTCCTTGGCATCGTCAACAATCGCGCATTAAAAGCGATTTACACACTCATACAAATCCATCAATTGCCGATGAATGAAATACTTACAAACCAAATTAATAAAATGAATTTCACAGCTCGAGAAAGCTTGGACATGGTATGCGATAGAAATGGGTGGCAGATGGCCAGATATCGTTCCACTGTGAATCCGGTGATGGTCAATACAGTGGCATTTCCTGAAGTTTCAGCCAACAGTCCTCTGAGGAAGCAGAAAAGGTTTCCAAAAATGTACGGATATCTGAAACAGAAAAAAATCTCTCAAAGTTTCCAAAAAAACTCGATCGATCATCGGTCAAACTGAGCCACAAATAGAGAAATCGCTTCAGTTTGTGTAATATTAATTCCTAAATTACCCTAGAATTGATCTAGTTTACGTGAACGATAGGAAAAGGCAATTTCCATTAATTCCCATGCTACTTGAATCGAAACGGGTTTCCTTATTTATGTGCAGAGCACATTTGTTTGTATGCCAAAAGCCTCAAATTGAGAGCTTTTTTGATCAGTCACGCCATACTCTAAAATTTTATCAGGCATGGACATGAAACAATGTAAAAAGCCTGATTTTATATCGGTAAGTCCGTGACGTGCCTAATTGGACATCGACAAAGTGGCTGTTTTCATTTCACTTCTACTAGTGAATAAGCGCAGCTTGTTTTATCTGGAAGCAACATCAATTTTAATGCTTGTTTACAGCATCAGTAAATATTTGCCTGGTTAGTGCGAATGCCAGAACGGGAACAAGTATTTTATTAACCAGACAAACTGTAAATCTCCCAGGCAGGCTGCAGTTTGCAATTTTTAAAGCATTTTTATTTCAATTTTATGCGTCTGTTGGCGCTGTTTCCATTGAAAATATTCTTTTGTATCAGCCACTCGACAGAGTACAGAGGTGACTGATTTATGGCTGCAATCTCAAAGTTTCTGCATCAAATAGCAAAGTCAAGAATGTCTTGAACTGCGAACGATCCGCACCTGCATATGAGTTGATAGGGCGCTGTTGAGTCTGCGATATTGAAGAGCTGGGAATATCGCGATTTTTAATCAAGGCAAAGAAAACAGAGCTGTCGGCCTATGAAGGTCCTCAATATGTAGATGTGGTGTTTGGGTCTTTAGTAATTAATCAACGGGTCGAAAATCGTGGGGGTTTAAGGGCAGAAAAGGTTCTTAACCTGGCTGTTGTCTAATATTGCGCCAGACCGTGAAATTATGCGAAGAGGAGATTTTTTCACAGGTACAAAATGAGTAGTTTAAGAAACAAATCGCTCCCGCGGAATTTTATATTCAACTCTGGGGCTGTATTTCAAAAGTGTCTTCTCCATTAATCAATTTTCTTTTCCCTGTCGTTTTCGACGGTTTCTTCCTATTATAATCGACCGGAAACACTACTTTTATATCAAATATACTCTATTTTACTGCCGCCAACTGCCCCTTGATAGACGCTTATTAAGCATTAAGTTAGACCGATTTTCAAATTGAGGCAACAAATTCCCATTGCTTTTCACAGCAACATTGGCATGTTTGTACTAGTTAAATGGAACGTCTATAAATAAAGCTGAATGCATTTTTCATAATCTGACCGATTTCCATTAAGTAGTGAATCTAGGAATGTTTAGAATTCAAATGAGCCACGAGGCATTCTTGCTCCAATAAATTTTGCAGGATTTTCCTTTATATCCTCGCTGGATAAAAGCAATGAAAAGTTCAATTAAACCAAACGCAATTCAGCCCCTGAACTGTGGAACTTTAACTATTAGTTTGCAAGGGCATTTTTGATAATTAATTGAACTGTTCGTCTTCGTTCAACGAATTTCATTCAGTCGCTTTGACCTAAAGCCACCAACAACGTGGTCGATTGCATTCGAAATATCAAACTATTTCATATTGGTAATTTGATTAATTTTCGCTCTGATTTTAGAATCAATTAGAGCCGTAGTTTCAACTAATTGTCGTAGTGGATTTTTAATGCTAATCACATGTAATTGCCATGAAAATTAACTGATTATTTCGAGCTTTCTTGTACCATCGCTGGAATTTATCAATTAACAAAAGCAGGTGAACACTGAAAGGACTTTTTTTCCAATTTTGTGATTAATTAGGAACAGAAAAGGTCTCCATAGATTTTTTGGGCGCCACCCCGTTTTAGAGAAAAAATTAAAGTCGCCCAGTTGCAGTATTCAAGATGACAAATGCTCAAAAGTTAATATAAATCGGCTGCTTTTGTCTAGAAAAAAATTAAAGGCCCTGGATTTTGTCGAAATTAAAAATTAGTTTCCAGTTTTATGATCAATTAGGAAGAGAAAGCGTCTCTTCTTTTTGCGTAAAAAAATTTAAGCCGAACCGTTGCAGCATTCGAGGCGCCAAGTGTTCAAACCAAATTAAAACAAGTGATTTTAGTTTGATGAAGACCAATAAATCGGCAATTTTGCATGTTACGTTAACTAATTTTCCCATTAAACAACAGGTTTATTCCGAGCCTGTTCGATATGTAGTAAAAAACGATTTTATGTAAATTTCGACTGGATCAAAAAACTTGTTTTGAATACGAGTGGAAAATTCCTGCTCAGCTAGTAGGACAGACAGTCGAAGACGCCGAATAGTTTGACTGGTTTCATCTGACCCGTTTGAGTCGATATCAGGAAAGCATCGTTAAAAAAACACTGATTTATTGGAAAATCGATAAAAATTAGAGCGCAAAGCGTGCAGCTGAAATTGCTCCAACAGTTGCTCAACTCCAACCTACGCCTGGGGTAATTTCTCTATCGCTTATCCGCAGATCGCTTATCCAAAAGGTTGCCTGTTGAAGCAATTTTGTTTTATTAACTTGCAATTTAATGTGAAACAATGCGGGCACGTTTATGTCCACCGTCAGCAAATGTTCCCTGCAATAATCCATTCTTATAAATATGAAATTTCGCTTCTTCCCCAAAGTGGAGAACGTAGACACTTTCTGGTACGAGCTGCGGAAAAATGCACAAGGGATTTTGTTGGGTCCAAATATTTGCCATAACTGGAGCCTTTTGAGTGGCATTAGAATGGTAATCCCAGAAGAGCCCTAATCCGACTAGAGAAATAATAACGTTCTTATCAAAAGCGCCATACTGGCAGACTTGACAAATTATTCGAACTAGACGCAAGGAAATTGTGACGCTWTAAACCCKTKAGAWWTACACGAAAATATCAGCTGGGTTTGGGGATTTAATGTAATTAGACAGCAGTTTTCCTTACTTTTCTGGTTATTGGTCAAATCGCTGATTTTTCTTTGGAAAACCTTTGGAACTCAGCCCAGTCTCAAGCAACAAAAAACTCTGAGAAATCGGACATTTGCGCAAACAGTTTCAATTCAGACGAACTCTTTAGTGCTTTCCCATTACTTTCGTTGATGTAATTCTCGAAAAAATCGGCTTTACAGTAAACGGTTTGGACTTTTATGTTGCTTGTGAGGAGGGAGCGTTTAAATAAATCAAAGGCCCTTTCTTGTGAGCGTCTGGAGCTGACGAAATCACATGCTGCCGTAAGTTCAATTGAAAAATTAATTATTTAGAGAAACTAAGTGGAAAGTTATTCAGAGCTGAACCTATTGGCCAGTTAAACAAGTAAAACTTGGTATAAATAGAAGATCATACAACATTATTATTTTTTGATTGTTGGCAACTAAATCCTCAAGTCAATTTTACTCAAAAATGGGGCCTCTGATGGATTTTCAGCTAGAGTGCCAATTTTATGTAAAAACCACAGAGTTTCACAATTTTCAATTGGAAAGCACAAAATTTTCCATCCAAAGCACAGCGCAGGTTTTAAGTCTTTAGTTTTTTAGCATCTTAGAGCTTCACATATCTAGAAAATTGCATACTTCTAATTTTAGCTGTTTGGGAAACTAAGAAAACATGTTTTAGGGCCCCACTTGAACATGAATTTACAAACTCGTTTTTCTGGGACAGTTTATATATTTTTTTCACTATGATTTTTCATCAATAAATCGGTTTTGTTTGAACCGGCGTCGCTTTATTTACCTCTCATAAATATATCCGAACTGAAGAAACTCTTTGGAAATTGTGCCAGTAATTTATAGGCACTAACAATGGATGGACGGAATCTGTAGAAAAGTTTCATCGGAGTTTCGCTCTCGTGGGCTTCAAATCAGGGACGAAAACAAATTGGCTGAAATCACTGATTCTCTGATATCAATTGGAGTTATTTACGAGCTGGGAAAGTTGCCGGCATTTTCAATAGCGAAAAAAACTGGAATTAATTGCATAATATTTCACTAATTAAAGTTGCTTTGTTGAGCACACCTGCTTTGACCGAATATTAAATTATTTGACTTGGGAAGTTCGTGTTAATTTCGCCGTTCTCGGCCCAAATTTCAGTTTCATTATCAGCAAAAAATTAGGCCTAGGATTTCCATTAAAGCCTTTGGGGCCCCGGGTATTCAGAGTTCTCCTTTCGCACCCCCCAACTGGATTGAGTTAAACGAAAACACCTAACCAATGGTTTTTTGCGTCTCTTCTATTTCAGCGAATATTCCATTACTTTGTTTTTGGTTCACAAGATTTACAACTAATCTTTTAAATTGCTTAGTAATTATTTGCTATTATTTAGGGACTCTTTTGCCACATTTCTGGTTCGATATAGTTTCGATATAGTTTCCAGTGGAAAATCCTGAAAGTTTAATGGACGAAGTCAGACGATTTGCGGCTTATTGGGCAAAGATAGCAAGAGAGGCAATCTGAGAAATGCTTCAGAAACCGATGTAAGAAGCCAATTTCTATCCGCCTTGTACCCCAAGTGACTTGGACTTATTCTTTTTCGGATAATTTATGCGGTTTTGGACATTTATTAAGCGGTTGGAAGAGACGATCGAAAAATGCCTGGAACTGGAAAATGCGTTGGCGAAGCCTTTGCAATTTTGTAGTTGGATATTTGCGTTTTTCAATTCTGGAAAATGCGTAAAACCGTAAAAATCGCTTTGAAACGCAATAGGGCAAATACACATTATGGGCAATTAATCTCCACATTAATCCAATGCGTAAATAAACGGTATTTAGCGTTTTGTGTTGTACTGAAATGTTTATTTCAATTTTATTGCTTCATTTTGCATGTACAACTTTTACAGTCGAATTATGTAAATTTTTGCAGTGTTCCTCTGTTAATAGCTACACCAACCAATCAGCATAAAGGAAACTGATTATTTTTGCTTAGCGCAGCCACCAACCGAAGATGCGTGCCACTTTTGCTTGC